GACCCGACTTTTAACCCTGTCAAAGGGAGAAATTATAGTATTAACAAAACTCGGGGGATATTTTGTTAGAGGGCCACAACTCAGGGGGGGAAATCTAGTTTGCCCTACAATAAAATGTTGTTCGTTGCCTGGAATTGGGATAGGTCGATGACCACCCCCACACGTGCGTGTTCTTAATTGTTGATTATAATTGCATGGGATTGGAAGTTTATGGTCAAATAATGCACGAAATCATCGTGTTTTATTTCAGTCAAAGCCAATATTTCATATCTTGATCGATTGAAACTTATTCAGTCAAAACACACCGTCGATCAAGGGATAAGAAAACTACGTAAAATGAAAATGATCAATTCTAAGAAATGCACAAGTCCAAAAGGCTTACCTTTTGTGTATCTTATTCTTCCACATATCATCCATAAAACAACAAAGCACCAAGAAAAACAAACCTCAAAAGTGGGAAAAAACAAAAAAAAAATTCAATTCAATGGTCAAATATTACTCTTCAATATGCCACACATGATTCTCATCATCGCGATGGTGATATTGGTGTTTCTTTCTCTTAATTTGGTGGAACTCTTCATCAATCGTTTTGCAAGATTCAATCAATGCAAAGGTTTTGTATTTTAGTTTAAGACAAACGAACAGTGCATGAATGGATGGTCAATTTTGTCTAAGTTACAATAATGTTCGGTGTGTGTATGATTTATTTGGATTCTCCATTGAAAAAATATTCTCAATTCATGTATCATTACAAATCAAGAATTGACGAGATGATCGTCATTGTTCTCGTAGTTTTTTTTTTCTAAACGACAAAATTTTAGTACAAATTAGGCAAAATATTATTAGTCTCTCGAAGCTTTAAACATGGGAGAGTACACACATTTGCGCGTATCTCATTTATTGGGGAACATAAAGAATAACAGGTTTAGGCGCATTTCATAATTGTAGTTAATGTGATTTGCCCATGCGTAACTACTCATAAATTGCATTTCTCATATAAAAATAGATAGACAAATGAATAAAACAATAAATTAATGTATGTGTGAGGCCAAAGGGCAAAGGTAATGTACAGCTAGTAGAATTAGAGGATGGAAATTGAAGGTTGAGATACTGATTCTCCCACTAAAAGGTTAGAAATCATTATCTCCTTTTTCAATTTGGGATGCAAAGTTTGCATAATATTAAACCACTTTTGCCAAAGTTTGATTTGACCAATATTATATTAATTACTTTTTCTGTCCCAAAATAATGATTGCACGGTTAATATTTTAATACAATTAACTAGTTATTTTGAAACTAAATGAGAAATAATCTTTTTTTTTATATATGTTTAATAAACTCGTTTCTTCATTCATTATTCAAAATATTTATTAAAGTACATGTCTCCTGTATTTTTCTTTTTTATTTTTTCTTTTTTTAACCCAAACATATGCCCTCAACAAGTTCAAGCGTGGAGGTAGGGATTAAATAGAAGGTGAAAACAACCTATATAGATAGAACAAGAAAAAGTTAATTGATTAAAGATTAAAGAGGGTAATTAAGTTACACTACCAAATTGGAATCAATATTAGCATGAAGACGACATTATTTTATGGATTGGTCCCATTCAACACAAGGGTTTGTTCCTTTTGTCTCTTCTTCTTTGATTCCCTTTAAGTAATTTTCAATTCTCCGCACTCACACGAGTGGGAAAATTTGTAGTTACGTTTCTTTTATTATTTGGTGGGGTTCATTGATATTGAAATGACTAATAAGTTAAAGAATCACATCTATAACAAATCAAAAAATTGGTCCAAATCATAAAATTAATAGAAAAAATTTTAGCTATAATCAATGTTTGAATTAGTCCTGTTCATTGGGCCGGTTGACCCGAGACCCGACCGAACTGAACTTAATACTTTGTTTCTCGGGTAAAACTAAATTGGTTTTTTGGTTGCTATGCGGTCAAAATCGAATTACTTATTGGGATTATTGGCTATCATCAGGTAGTTTTATTTTCACCCGAATTACCCAAACAATCAGATTTTTCCACCACCGCGTCTTCTCCCACATCTCCAATCTCAAGCTAAACGAGCCAAACAATTTATGGGTTTCACTAGATTTTACTCCCAAATTCATTTCCACGACCCCCGTCAACGTTAGATCTAAGTTCTTTGTGATTAGTTTAGAATTTATCCATCAAAAAAAGCCGTCCAAGTTCTGCTACTCCAAGTATTCTGCCGGAGCAACGGAAGGCGCGAGATTCAAGCCGTGAATGAATCCATCTGCATACAAAGCCGTCAGATGTAAGAACCAACAAAGCCTTTGTGCATTCTGCAACAAAAAACAAAAGGGACAGAGAATGCTGCAACTGAGTCCTGAATTTTCTTCAAGGTGAGCCTTTCTAAGATATCCTTTCTCGTTTTCTGCACGTTTATTTTGGATTCTGTTTTCGTGGGGGTGTCAAATCCATCTGCATGTTCTAAAAAATGTAGTTTTGTACTGAGATTACCCACATCAATCGGCAATTTAAGGAGTTTTAACGATTTTTTCTGTCGGGTTGCTAATGTTTCTCCCCTGGTTTGCGAATCTTTTGGAGTAGAGTTGTGGGTTGCTTAATTTTGTTATTCGTGAAGATTGTGCTTGATCTGTGAATATAAATGTGCAGTATAATTATTCTATCAAGCTCTCAGTTTGTTTGTGTTTATTTGTTTGGTACTTCTTTTTGAATCTCTGCCTCTGTATATAACCGGCAGATGGTTGAATATGAAACTCAACGCCTCCATTGACCTTTTTCTCTGTTGCTGCTGCAAAGCATTTGAACATTTGATAATTTGTACTTTTCAATGTCTGCGCATCTGATGAGTTTCCTGAGGCATTCCAAACCTAAAATTCTTTTGGTTTTCTGCATTAACAGAATCTGACCCTGGTTGGAGCATTATGTCCTTGGCTAGATTAAATGTGTGTTGCTGTGCCGAATCAGTAGAAGTTATCTTATCAGCTGCTTCTGGTATTGTAGATCATGTAATTATTTCTGGAGATAGTTGTAGTAGCAGCAATAGTTTTGCTGTTTATTTTGGAGATTGTAATATTTCTTGTAATTGGATTTTTATGTGTCTTTTAGTGTACTTGATGCTCAAAACAATATAATAAAACGATGAGTACAAGGAAATTTAAAATTATGGGCCAAAAGAAAAAAAAATGCTTGCTAAAGCTAGTTTACATCGGATGTACCAGATTACCCGACCGGAAACCCAAATAACCGAACAAGTTATTCGGGTTGTTTATCAAATGAGATTGTGCTTCATTTCGGGCTAACCCGTTTTCCACTCGAAAACCTGAATAACCGAATCCGTTGACCCGAAACCTGTTAATTTGACCCGAATGAACAGGCCTAGTATGAATCTTAATTTAAAATATGTGCTAGTGACTGAAATACTAGTTAAAAGTGATTTATTTCCAAAAGTGATGTACTCTATTTGAATTTAGATTAATTAAAAAATAATTATTTCAAACACCCACTCTAATGTTTTTTTAGAAAAGAAAGAAAGAAAGGAAAAAGAATGCCTTCAAATTTGCACTTCTTACTTAGGATTTTAATGACAATTTATTTTAAAATCCGTAGATTTTATTAACAAAGCGAATTTAACATTCTATTTTTTGAGCAAAATCGCGATTTCAAAAAATAATTGGAGTCACCATCCGTTCCTCCACAATACGGAGAGAATAATTTGTTAGGTACTGTATACAAAAGGCATATGGTTTTAAAAGCATTTTTATCGCTAACCATCAGTCCAAAATCAATCAAACGTTTGTCAAAGCATATTCATATCTTCACTCATCAGCTTATAGCTAGTGTGACTTGACTCATGATGCAAGCCCGTACAAGTACTGTAAGTCCTTTGAAGATTGAAACTGATGATCAAGAGAGTGATTAGTAATCATAAGTACATTTTGCAGATTTTTTTAATTATTTTTTGTTTCCATATAATATGGTCAAGATTTGTTAGGGTCGATTAATCAAATCAATCATCATTTTTCTTATAGTTCTCTCTCCATGTTTGCTTTAGAATCAGGGCCTCTTGTTTTTGTTATTGCTGAATCTTAACTTTAAGCTAAGTTAGGGGAAGAGGAGATTGAAAGTCACAGCTACATATGATTCTATATACCCCCTATGAACTTGCTGATTAGTGTTCAATTTTCAAATATATTCTCCCGTCTCTTCATCTTTTCACTTTTGCATTTTATCGATTGATCAAACTAGTGTGTGATAACTTGATTTGACATCTAACTTGATTGATAACATACAACATACTGGAGCTAATAGCACAAATCACAACCCATTAGCCGTGCCACCATTTAACTGGTGGTCGACAACATGTCCTAATTAAAATTTACTCTTTCCATTCTGAAATAATTGTCCGGTTTATATTTCAATTTCTACAATATAATTATACTCATAAATAAAAATCTAAATTGATTAATAATTTTGGGACAGAAAGAGTATTATAAAATGTGTTGCGGCTGTTAAGCTACGTAGTCACTCACTTATGTCTCTCAGGTCTACCATTACCATCACTAGGAATTTACTTACATCTATACTTCCATGAAAGAAAAAGGCAAGAATCGAAAGGTATAAATTTGGAAGGCATAAGAATTAAGAACACATTTTACTTTTGATTTGTTTTCTAGTTTACCATTGTTTTTTGGGTTCGATCATCAAAACGTGGGATGACTCAACTGGACAACTTAGTATGTACTTGTGCTGTTAGTTAATGATGTCCCCTCCCAATAGGCAATGGCCAATTGGCCTCCCAAGGAAACTCACTCCATGATTTAATTTGCCCACCTTCATAAAATGCTATTATACTTGTAAGCTAGCTATTACTTAATCTGATCATCTGATGTACAAATGAACCCACCAAATGATTAAAACACATGTTCCTTCAGAAAGTTTTATCTGGTTAACCAACTTTTCAGTTGCACACTTGCGCGAATGGATTCAAATAAACCATCAAAAGCCCATAAATAAATAAAAATATACAAGTTCTGTCTCCACTTCTTGTGTAACCAACACACGTTATTAGTGACTATTCATAAAATAACAGAATGCGATCGATACAAAAAGTTTAAATAGGCTATTCTATTTGCGTATAAAAAATAGAAAGGTAGTAGGTTATGAAGATATATAATTAGTTAAATCAACTACAACTTTGTAACACCACAAGATATCTGATTGTGTATATCAGCACAAAACAGTGATATGATGTTCTATACAATATATAGAGATGTCAAATCTCAGAATAATACAGCTCATATAACAAAAACTTTTTTTTTAAAAAAAAAAAAGGTAAAGAAGGGCAATCTTTTTGGTATCTCTATCTCTTTCTTCAACTCGGGTTCTACACGGTGGTCTCTATGGTTCTCATTCCCATCTGCATCGCACCATAACACATTTTTCACATATAGGAAGTTCCTCTGAATCATGAAAGCTGAGTCCGAGTTATCAAAGATATGGAATATGGAATAGTAGTAGACTATAAATATGATGATGATGAAGCCCCATTGGCAGCAGCCAAAACACGGATTTCTAAAATGCTTCCAACTGTACGGCTCCTCTCTCCAAATTTAGGTTCTAAAAGGACCTGATGAAGTGACAGTTTTAAAAAGCATCCCACCAAAAAAAAAAACAAAAAAAGATTATTTTTTGTCGAATTGGTTTTTTTTCGCCTTTTGGCCATCTTGCCAAATCAGCCACTGAAAGTGAAAAGGAACTTTTCAATTCTTTTTTTTCTTTTGTGTAAAACAAGCAGAATTTAGAAAATTAATTTTAAGGATAGAGATGGGTGAAGGTATGTGTCACTTTAGTGAGTGGCGGTAGCCACGGCAGTTCCGAGAACTGAAGTGGCAGCCATAACGGAAGAAGACGGTGGGGGAGTAGTGGTAGTACTAGAAAGGTGGTGAGAATGAGATGGAACAACAAATTCATGTACTTGTTGTTCTAGGAAATGTCCAACAATCATGGAACTAGGCCTTGCAACAAGTCTTTCCCAAGCTTCATCAGAATCAGGTCCTTTCTTTAGGAAAGCTTCTGTGGCATCAAGATGATGCAAGTTCCATCCCAATTGCTCTTGTAGCCTTAGAATATTTCTAATTTGGCAACAAGCCAATTTGCAAGTGTTTGACTTAATCTCCTCAATTGCCTCCTCAAGAAGGAATCTCTTAGTTTCCTCATCATCAATCAATTCCTTCTCAACTCGGAAATACCGGTCGAGTTCCGGGACCCCGATCGCACGCCTGATCCCACGGCTGTAATCGCCGTCCTGGCGGAAAAATTCCCTCACTTCTCCGACTAATCCAGATTTGACCATCTTATTCACTCGTTCTGACACGAACGAGTGGAGGACCGGCATCGAGACATCTACCCAGAGGAAACAACATTCGTATTTCGATTGGAACTCGACATTGTCATTCACTAGGGCCTTGATGTACGAATTGGACCCGCCCGCGATGATCGGGAGGAGCCCCTTTCGGACAATGGAATCCACAGCAAGGGACGCGTGGTGTTGGAAATCGAAGGCGGTGAAATCCACGTCGGGATCCGCGATCCCCAACAAATGGTGGGGGATCCCGTGGCATTCTTCCTCGGTTACTTTGTTGGTGGTTATGTCAAGGCCCTTGTGGATTTGCATTTTGTCGGAATTCACGATTTCCGCCGGAAAACGGGTGGCCAAGTCGATCGAAAGCCTCGATTTTCCGGTGCCGGTTGCTCCCATCACTATCACAACTTTGTCCTTTCTTTTCCAAGGAATGAACGGTTCCATGGTTAATCCTCCTGGGAAACTTACCAAAGATGGTACTTCTTTGCAAGCTGAGAATGAAATCCTCATCATGATTGATCAAGCGTTAATATAGCCCTTTTCAATCAAGCTTCCTGGAATTAATCAAGAAAAACAACTAAGCAAATTAAACAGAAAAAACCAAAAAAAAAATAAACAAAAAATAAACAAGTACTAAAAAGCTGTAAAAAATGAAACTTGTACAGGTAATAAAACATGCAAATTAATTTGAACAATGGTGTAACAACTATGTACCTTTTGTAACAAGAATCTGTTGAGTATCAGTATTCTTTTGCCCTTTGAATTTGAAGGAAATGTGGAAATTTTTTATTTACAAGCTAGCTATATCTCTATATGTACAAAAATCTAATGGAGGAAGCAAGAGAGATTGAGAGGAATTGTGTAAGCTTTTTGTGGGCTTATGAAATAGAAGAAGGAACAACACTAAGTTCTGATATATGCATACTATTTTCCACGTACACAAAGAATTGAAGTGGGCAGGGTATTTATTGAAGAAGCATATAGTTCCGTACACATTTGTCATCAGCCTTTTGTCACACGTAATAACGTTAACTATAACAAAATTTAATGTGATACTTTATGAATTTTATGCTATAGTTTGGTTTAAAAATTTAGTAGTATCAAGTCATCCTGGGCCTATCATCGTTAAATATCTCACCATCTATAATCAGATCATGATTAGAGCATGATGTTGTCAAAATTCTTTTATTTACGCACGGAACGTTACAATTTATAGTTTTAAACTTTGTCTTCCTTCCTTCTTTATACCGTGGAAAAAAAAAAGTTTCTTGGGACAAAATTAGTGGGCTTGATTCTTCTAAGAAAGGAGAAAAATTATCATTTTTGTGTATTAAAATGTCTAGTTGGGGTGTTTAAGGACTTAATAGTCAACTAAATGGAGTACTAACTATAGGAATCTTTTTGGAATTGTTAGTCTAGAAATGCTTGTTTTGGTGATAAACTATTTCTTAGTTTGAGCCTAATCTTTGAGATTATCTTGTCTTAAAGAATAGAGTCGTACTCTCCCATTATCTTCACTTGGTGGGCTAATTTTATTTAATTTATTTAAAGTAGCAACCGAAAGGGAGTTTTTACAATTCTTATTCTTGACAAGATAACATCCTTTGATGTAGAATTTATGCATATATACAATGTATTTTTAACCTTAAGTATTACCCCTTTACCCCCATCTTTCATAGTACCTTAAATTAATAAAATTAGACAAGAGGCCTTAAAATATTACAACCCATTAGTAGTTCATTGCTTTCACTTTGATTCTTGCCAGCCAAAAAAAAAAGGGGGAATTCAAAGAAAATAGAAGGGGTTGAAGTGGAACTGTTGCTTTCATAAATGAGCAGCCAAGTAGTTTTCAAGGCAAATTTGTTCATTTTTTTAATTGTGATTAATGGTATTTGAGAAAAGTGAAAAAGATAGATAGATCCACATATGTTAGATGTAATTGCTTTTTTCCCTTGTTCTTTCAATTCTAGGATTTCATGGACGTGATAATTTCATATGGCATGAGGTGAATGGTAGAAGGAAGAATCATTATTTTGGGGCCTAAAAAGTAACGGAATATCTGAAAAAAATTAATTAATTTTGGGAGAGAAAATGGTGGGATGAATTGTGGAATCTGAAGAAATTCAGAAAGCAATTGGTGAGATGATTAGTTCATCAGTGAAAGCAGGATTTGTTTGTTTAGTTTTTTTTTATGGTTTTTTTATTAATAAAATAATAACTATTCTATCCAGCATATCTTTTTACATTTTTAATACACTTTTTTATATTCTCAATTCAAAAAAACACCTAAAAACACACACTAAAAAAACGAAACAAATATACCCTAAGAATTTCCCTACTGCCCGCTTTAAGAATTTCTTTGGTCGTTTTTCCTTAGGGTAAAGGCATACCAATCATTTCGACCAAAAAAGAAAAAAAAAATCATTCCTCAACTTTAGCTCATAGTGTTAAAAGAAATTTTACTAGATTTACATCAACCTCAAGCATTAGTTGATTCGATCGTCTTTATTTCTTTTTTTCACTAAAATTGTTCAATAAACGAAATTCTTATTTTAAGCCGATGAAACATGTTTTAAAATGGATCATGAGTAATTTCCTCCCATCAATTACATTGACTTCGATGATCAGATTAACTGAATATGAATTGCATCACATACTTAACAACATGAAAATGTAAGAGAGGGTTTGTGGTATTCGTTCTATTTCATTTTAACAAACATGACTATTTTATTTGGGTCTGAATATGAGTGTATGATTTAATCGTTCTCCTTAATTTTATTTGCTTGGTATTTGCTCTTCGAAAGTGTCTTCTTTTCTGGAAATGGAATCATGCATGCACATGAAATCGGCGAGGTGTGAACTACGAATTTGTATTTTATATTTGAGTTTCTTTTTGTATATGCACAAATCACTTTCCGACTTTGAGGCTTAATTTACATTTAAAAAATGATATTTCAATAGCATAGTACTTTCCATTAGAGGCAGCAAAATCACCTAGTTTTATTTTAAGCTAATAAAAAGTATATATGATAGAAAAATAATTGGCATAAATTCTTCTACCATTTTGTGATTCTAGTGTGAAACTATTGGAAGATTAGAGTCAAAAAGATGGATTGGTATATCAAAACCGGTTTCCTTACCAATACTAAAGATACCAATACATATCTATCTATTCAAACTTATATACCTTCCACCCAAATAAGAATTAATATTCAAATAAAACAAGTTGATTTTGATACCATCAGGCTGGGGAGGGTTTCAGCATTTTTATGATGTATCTTCTAGATTATCTTCGTCATCAGGGGAAAAAAAAAAAGAAGAAGATGTTATTGATTTTTTTTACTCAAGGGATGTTTGAGAAAATATTCAATGATATTGGATAATTTCATTTTTTGACATTCTTAGGACAAAAATCACTAAATCACCAAATATAGGGAAATCCAGGGTGGTATCTAGTGGGAGGACCACAATTTTATTAATACAAAGAGCAAAAGTATAAAAGACAGTGGTTAAGATTTACCCAATCAAAAAGAATCGTCTCACAAAAATTTTTCTAAGAATTTCATGACGGTTTCTATACATTTACACTAAGAAACTGTCTTACAATAGTTCTCTAAAACCCTTGATAATTCTGTTCATTTCCACAGTCTACGTCTAAAAACTGTCTTACAAAGATTTTCTACAAACCCCATGACAATTTTCTAAGGAGCAATTCAAAACCTATACAAATCTATTACAAAATCACCTAATCACTAATGTTGAATGTATCATTTACATTAAAACTCATTCAAATTAGAAATTATAATGTCTATTTTTTATACATATTATTCCGGAATTGGCTGGCTCTGAGAGGGATTTTTTTCAGGTAGAGCAACGATTTAAAGTGAATGTGGTATGTGTTTGTTTAAAATTTTTTTATGTTTTTTAAATCGGAAAAAAAAAAGCCAATATAAGCTCCCGCCAAGATATAAAAGCAATAAAAAATTTCCTCTTCTTTTTTATTTTCGGTTTTTCGTTTGGCCAAAAGCAAGATGATGATAAACGTTCAGTTTCGTAATCAAGATAAGCTTCAGCTAATTTGCTAGCTAGAGCTTTCATTAGCATTAACTAGGCAGATTTTTTTGTGATCATCTCATGGGTATCTTTCTTACTTCAACTATACCACAAACAACCAGTTCATGTCTAAGCCTCAACTTATTAGACCTTCGGGGGGGGGGGAAGAAAAAAAAAAGTAGTAGTATTTAATTTGATGGTTCAACTGGGATAGCGGCCTTTGTAATGATATCAATCCTCTGGCTTAAAAAAAATAAAAATCATTGAAAATTAGGGAATGAAAGGGCCATTTCTTCTTGCTTATCATAATCTTGCTTACATACTTTTCACTCATGGCCCCTCCCTCCATTTGATGACCTCCATTTAAGTTTTGTGCCATCATGAAAACTTTTTGATTAAAGTAGCTTTGAATCCCTAGAAAAATATTTAGTTGTATATTACTTCCATCCCAACGTAACTTCCTGCTTATAATACCAAAATAATTCGATAAACATGAGTCTTATTCGAAATGCTGATTGTATTATATTAACCTTAAGAAGTTAAAATCTTTGTATCTAAGATTCTAAGATAATCAAAATTCAATGCGAATTGCAACTAACACAGCGTAAACATGACACAGATGAGTGCTGTTATGTACATTAGCCTCGTTTATATAAGACCGACTGGACTACATAATTTCTCTTAATGTAAACTCCTTTGAATTTGAATCATTTGCCTAAATTGTGAACCGGTATTTATTATTGTATATAATATAAAAAGCAAATTATACATGATTAGATGGATCGTGGCGAAAAGTTTGTGCGAGGCAGTAGTTATTAAGCATCATCATCATCATTATCACGATGATGAAGAGACATTTTTGCGGAATGTCACTATCTCAAGAGTATCCACTTAAATTGATTTAGGTAATTGTACTAATATTATTTGTTTATTATGTGGAATTCAATTTTGACCAGAAGAAATCAGCAGTCAAACTCCATTGAACGTTTATTTATTTATTTCTTTTTTGGTTGCAGGTAGTAGTGATGGTGTCCGAGAAATAATGAGTTTCTTTTGGCATATCACGAAGATGATATTGGCATGATATAATTTCTTTTTCGTGCGTGCGGAAAAGCAGAAAGTTGTCTCTTACTATAGTTGATTAATCATTAATCTAGGCCCAAGTCGATATATAAATTTAAGGTGTGAGACGAAATCAATTATCTATTTTTCCAAACTCTAAAAAGTAAAACAAAAAACTATTCAATATTAGAATTTCCATTTACCCAATAAGATTTTGGGTGGTCAACAAAATACTAAGAAAATATATGTTATTTGCATTAGGGCGTAATACTAGTCTAATATTATGAGATGAAAAAGTATACAGTTCGGTCACTAAGTTGGAAGTCGGATGAGAGAAATTGAAAAGAAAAAAAAAATGGAAAAAAGAAAGAAAGGAAACCCTCCAATTGAACAGAACTTGTTAGATCATCCTCCATTTGATCAAATGATGATCAATTGAATAAATGATACTTGGCTTAATTTAACTAATCAATGACATTGTTGGCTCTCCACTTCCATCGATCATTTGCAACATGAGTGCGCAGGCCAGATTTTTCCTTTTCTTCTTTCTCCAGGAAAGATAAAAAGGCTAAAAGAAAAAACCATGCACGCGATTTGATTTTCCTTTGCAATCTCATCATTATATACTTCAAGAAACATAAGGTTCAACTAGCAATTTTTATGGTTTGAAACTTTGTTTAATTGCTCTTATCAATCATTCTTAACATCCATCATAAGATATTTTCTCAATTCCAAGAAAGCTAAGTAGTTGCAGAAAACAATAATTAACGTTGTTGGCTTAGAAATAAATAGTGGTTCAAACCATTCAAAACTGGTCTCTTTGGTAAAAATTAATACTTAATTCTGAATATTTAATATTAAATTAAAAATGATGAATTCATTAAGCAATTACGGAATAAACAATAACTTAAC